TTCCGGTAGTCAAGCTCTGTCTTGTAGGGGTCTAAATAATTACCAATACTATTTTGGGGGTTCCTTATTATAAGTATAATGTAATAGACCAAAACCCTATTCCAATTAGTAAGACCCCTATATTAACTGAATTGCCCCAAGCAGGTCGTATGAGCCAAGCCAAGCAAAGGGCGGCAGATTGGATTGACCCTGGCAAAGTCTGTGCCGTCGAAGTTTGGCTTAGGTCAAAGGTATCCTGTAGCGGTGTGCCGCCGCTGCCGCAAGCATATCGCGATTTCACCTGCCTTGTTCCCAACAGTGTTGGCTGAGCCACCTTTCCCTGAACCTTAAACCCTAGATTCGAACCCCAAGCCCTGACCCTAAACTCGAACCCCTAACCCCTAAACCAAACTAAACCCCAAACTAAACCCTAAACTTTAAACCCTAAACCCTAAACCTTGAACCCTAAACCCTAAACCCTAAAGCCCTAAACCCTGAAGCCGTACACCGGATAAACCTCGGATCTGAGCCCTAAGCCATGGCTTTGTCCGTCTCCAGCCTGCTCTCCAGCGAAGCGTTTGAGCACCGGACCTGCGGCATGCATCGGGAGCTGCTGGCAGAGGTCAGAGTGGCCATGAAATACGGTTAGGGTTTAGGGTTTAGGGTTTAGGGTTTAGGGGTTTAGGGTTTAGGATTTAGGGTCGGTCAAGGTAGAATCCATGGGCCCCTAACATGGGCCCTTAGGGGATTCTAGGGTCCCTTAAGGGTATATATAGGGTATATAGTAGGTATATTAGGGTCATGGGTTCTACCTTAGAAGAGGTCAGAGTGGCCATGAAAGCGCTGCCGGACACCGAGAAGGCGCAGGAGATGGGCCATGCCTGTTGAGCGGGCTTCCTTGTTTAGTATGTAAGGCTAATGTAGGAACCTGACTAAGAAACCCTGGCCCAAGAAGCCCAAAATAGAACGATCCATATACAGAAACCTAACAAAAACCCAGGGTTTCTTAATCAGGTTATAATGATAAACCCTAAACCCTAAACCCTAAACCAGTGTTTTCGGAGTTCGCTTCAGGCAAGGCGCGGTTTGACTATCCTCCCTGACTTTCCTGGGAAGCAGATCCTGCGCTGCAAAGGCTTGCCTTGCAGCTCTCAAGCCTAACCCGGTTTAGGGTTCAGGGTTTAGGGTTTAGGGAACCCGAAGTATCCTTAAGTTGACCCTGAACCCTCAAACTCTACCCGAGATCAACAACCGCACCCAAGGGCCTCGAGCCCGGTTGGGAACCTCGATCAGGGAATAGAGACGTCGGAATAGCTTTTAATACAATCCCCTTCATGGCCCCTGCTTAGTAGTTGTGCGATCAGAGCCCTGTCTTCAGCCCCCAAATGCCCAAAGCCCTGAAGTGCTTTGAGAGGCTACAGAAGCAATGTCTGTTGTGCTTTATTGCACGCTTGTGGAATGCAGGTGTCAGTTGGGAACGTGGATCGTTGGAAGACGCAAGGGCTTGATTTCTGGTTCACGGTTTTGGCGGTTTTGGTTCTTTGCAGGATACAGGGCTTAGGGCATGGGAATTAATTTGTCCACGGGGAGTTTGAACATCCTAAACCCTAAACCCTAAGCCCCCTAAACTCTAAACCCCTAAAGCCTAAGCCACCTGAGATTTGAAACCTAGCTTTCACTCCCCTCAGCCGCAGACAAACCCCAAGCCACCAGTAATGCCCAAACCCTAACATCCTAGAAGGGGGGGGTAAGGGGGAGTGGGGTATGGGATTATGCTTCCTGAAGTAGACACTATTGTATAGGTCCTTATTACAGGTATTGTGGCCCCCTAGCCCCCTGCACCCTATTCCCCCTAAGGGTCCTTATGAGTGTAATAGAGCCCGTGTGGATCCGTTGCAGAGGTTTGAAAGCCAAAGCATCTCGAGCACTTGAACGCTGTATTTCAGGAGCTCTGCCAGAAAGTCTTGGGCATGCTTCCCGGATCCAATGCAGCTGTTCTGCTGTCACCGGCCATGGGTAAGCCCTTTGCAGAGGCGTCACGAGGGAGCGATCCGACTTTAATCGTGACTTGGCATTGTGTCCAAATGTTTTGCGGGCTTATGGGGGGCTTGAGCATGAGTCTGACATGATCTGCTTTTCTTGGTCAAACAGTCACGACTTCAGCTTATCTAGCGCGTCGTAGCTGTCATCGCTGTCGTCGTCATTGCCGCATCGCATGTGGAAAGAGCAGTAGCAACATCGTCCGTCGCAGTAGCAGCAGACTCACGAACAGACTTGGTGGATTGTAGTGATGGGAAGAGGAGCGGCAGTTGCATTGGTGTGACCGTCCGAAGAGGATTGTGTCGCAGGGCAGCCGGGCAGCAGGAGTAAACAGTAGTGCTTGGCCGAATCGGACTAGAAGTGGGGCACGGCTGCCCTGCTCCTCCTCCTTTTGCTGGAACTGGTACTGGTACTAGTACCAAAACGAGTACTAGAGCTAGAACGCGAAGCCGGCTACTACTAGTACTACTACTACTACTACTACTACTACTACTACTACTACTACTACTACTACTACTTGCTGATAGTGTCCAACCGAAGCTTAAGGTATGGCTCCTGCCCGACCCAGCCGACGTTGACTCCAAGCAAACCACATTTGTCAAGACTGGCATTGAGAACTTCGAAGAGACCTTCCAAGCGATGTACAAGCTGTGCCCCAAATCCTGAACCACAACCACAAGGCAATGCTGCAACTGGAGACCAGCAACCCTATCCTTTGAGGGTTCAGGTGTTATCTAAAGGTGCAGAGATTCTGGGCCAACGGTGGGCTTGACGGTGGGCCTTTCGCCCCAAGCCGGACAGCTGTTGAGACGGGTGCGGCTTTGTGTACAGTGCAAGCCCGGACGACATTGCTATGGACGGAAGCGAAAGCGGTACAGGGCTTCGGGATTACAGCAAGCACATGAAACCCTAAGCTTCAACTTTTACATCCGGCTGCTCAGCCTCAGGAACCGAACTTAATGCCCTGAAGTCTGAACTACAGGACCCATGACTAATGTAACATAATGTAACCGTTTCGTGCCGTGGCAGAAGGACCACATGGTTTTCAGGGTACGCCAAGACGCATGTACTCATCATCTTACAGACAGACGTACATACATACACGCATACATGCATGCATGCGTATATACATGCGTACTTACCTGCATATATAGATATACACACATACACACGGTTCGTGTCAGCACGGAAATGGATAGGCTTTGGTGAAGAACTCCGTGTTGGTGTGTATCTGCATATGTATAGAGCAACACTAACACATGCCCGCAGCTAAGTCTATGTATGCATGCTTGTATATAAACACATGCAGGCCCTAAGCCCTGAATCCTAAGAGAGACGAGTGACCGACTTGCAAAGCCACATCGGCTTCACGTAACCTTCTGAAATGTCCGTTTACAAACAAGGCAACAGAGCCTACCAACCCTTACAGTCAGTTCGGGGGTGCTGCAATCTTGCAGTCATTAAACCCAAAACATAGACAAAACCCGACATGTGAAAGTCATAGTTGGATCAGAAGTGCAGCCACCACTACGTCATCTGAGCCTCCAACCCCGTAAACCCGAAACCCTAAATCCTAAACCCTAAACCCTAAATACCCTAAACCCTAAACCCTAAACCCTAAACCCAAGACAAGACTGAGGTGGTCCATCCCTGTGGTATGCCAGGCACGTAGGGTGCAGGGAGTTGTCTGGGAAACTTCGGGGGCTGAGGGGTTTGGGCTTGAAGCTTCGAGGAGAACAATGGACTCCCTTAGCCGTAAGTCCAAAGGGTTTCGGGTTTAGGGTTTAGGCTTAAGGGTTTAGGGTTTAGGGTTTAGGGTTTAGGGTTAAGGGTTTAGGGTTTAGGGTTAAGGGTTTGGGGTTTAGGTGAGCAGGAAAGCCTTGTATAAAGGCTGAGACTCATGGGCCAGGACCCACTATAGAGGTCAGAAGAATGAGGTAGACTGTCCCCTACGGTCCCTCTACAAGTATACTGTACACAGTATACTATCCTGTGCTCTGGAAGCCCTATTCTACACACTAAGGTTGAAATCCAGGAGTTTGATTGAACAATTCAAATCCCTAAACGCTAAACCCTAACCCCTAAACCCAAACCCCCAAACCCTGAACCTTAAACCCGAAACCCTAAACCCTAAACGCTAACCCCTAAACCCTAGACTTCCTAAACACTAAACCCTAAACTTCCTAAACACTAAACCCTAAACTTCCTAAACCCTACATCAAGCCCTAAAGCCCCCAGTCCTGCCGCTGAAAATCCCGAAACGTCTGCAGACCGGGAGCCCCCAAAACCACCAAAACCCTAAACGCTCCCTCGACCCTGGGCCCTTGTAGTGGGTTTAGGGCTTAGGGTTTAGGGTTTAGGGTCTAGGTAATTGAGATGTTAAGGTTTAGGGTTAAGGGAAGCCTCATCGAGCTTTGTCTAGATAGCCTGAACGAGCCCTACACCCTTAAACCCTAAACCTTAAACCCTAAACCCTAAACCTTAAACCCTAAACCCTAAACCCTAAACCTGAAACCCGAAACCATAAACCCTGAACCCTAAATCTAAATCCCCAGGCCAAGTTTTGCAATCGCCTCACTCGGGAGGCCTTGCTTCTCGGCCCGGTATGCCTCTCCGACTCGGACATCCTCTTTGAGGCCACGAGATTTAGGATTTAGGGTTCAGGGTTTAGGGGTTTAGTGTTTAGGGTTTAGGGTTTCAAAGGACTTGACAGGACTTGCATATAGGTGAGGGGCTATAGGACTTGAATTTGGCTTAGGGGCTAGAAGGGTGCAGGGGGTTCTGGCATTGTCGGGTTTGGGGTGCGAGAGTGTCTTTGGGCTTGAGGATGGGTTTAGTGTTCAAGAAGGTTTGGAGTCTCAGGATTTCAGTCTTTGGGGCTTAAAAAGGTTTAGGGTTTGGCGCCTGGGATATTCGGGCACGGGCTTCTCGCTTGCATCTCAAGGAGTTTGTCTCAAAGTGTATGGTGAGCATGGGGCTCCATGGCATTTCTCGCGTCGAGCGATGTGCTGAACTCCCTGTGGAAGCAAAGTAAAGTCCCATCGCTGGATGGCATACGAGCGATCAGCTGTATTTGGGTGAGCTTCTCCCATGCGTTCTTCCTCTGGCAAATGTCGGCCATGTCAGTTCCAGGGACATTGCGGCTATTCTTTACATCGTGGTGGCCAGTAGCAGTGCCGATGAACGGAGATCTGGGAGTAGATTTCTTCCTTTTACTTTCGGGTTACCTCATTGGCAGCTCGGTTTTCGAGGAAATCAGGCATACTGCGTCCTTCAACTGGGTGCCATTCCTGATTCGCAGAGTTTTCCGTATCGCGCCCGTGTTCTACATGGCAGTCTTTCTAGCGATTGCTACACAGGGACTTGCGGCCTGTCGGTTCGCCTTCTGGAAGAAGCTGATGTTCATAGAGAACATGACTGTCAACCTACAGGACGAGGGGCAATGTGCCCCACAATCTTGGAGCGTTGGCCTTGAGATGCAGCTTTACTTGGTCACTCCGCTACTCATGATGCTTGCATTTCGCTTACGACGGCAGTGCGAGTTTGCGTGGGCGGTTATCGGTATCTGTGGTTGCATGTGGGTCGCATGCTGTGTAGCTCGACTTTCCGCCCTGCCTGCAGTGGTTGCCATGAGAGGAAGCGTGTGGTACACAGGGACGCAGTATCGATGTGCCCCGTATGTCATCGGAGTGGCAGTATCTGTGCTCTGCCATGGGACATCCTCCCACGAAAGATCCGCATCCAGTGCTTTTCAGAGGATCTTGGCTCTGGCATCTTGCGCCATTCTTGCGGATTGCGCGTACTTTGGAGGTGGTGGACCTTTGCTGGGCTTCGAGAGCCCCATGGCGAGATGGCCCTTCAGCCGAGAAGCTGTAAAGCTGCACTTCGTTTTGGGACGTCCGCTCGTCGGCGCTGCGGCAGGGTACCTTCTGTGGAGGAGTCTCAGTGGCCATGAGCCGTACTTGAACAAGGTGCTTTCTTGGCCAATCTGGCGTCCCCTTGCGCGCCTGAGCTACTCCGCGTACATGTTGCAGGTTGTGAGCTTTGCCGTGGCACCCTGGCTCTTATCTCCACTCGCTGATGCTACGAGCAAGCCTGCAAAAACACTTGCATCTCTCTCGCAGCCAGCTATGACCGGCATTTGCTATGCATGGGCGGTGCTATATACACTGTTTGCCTTCGCTCTGGCACTGGTCAGCTACGTAGCAGTGGAAGTCCCGGGCATTTCTTTGGGCCAGCGCCTTGCCCTTAAACTCAGCCAGCCCAGGCCCCTGATCGCAGATTTGAAACAGCCACTCGTGACGCAGTAGTGTTAGGGTTTAGGGTTGAGGGTTTAGGGTTTAGGGCCGCTTAGGGTTTAGGGGTTGGGTTTTTTCCAGGCGGATCTCATGTGCAATTTTTAGTTGACTGCTTGGAAAAGAAAGCAGCAACTTCTCTTGGCGCAAGTGTAGCAAAAGTGGTTGGCAAACCGCAAAAATTGCCCCCAGTCAATTAATATAGAACCCTCAATAATTACCTATACTATTTTGGGGTTCCTTATTGTTAGTATAGTATAATATACCCCGAAACCCTATTCTAATTGTTAAGGCTTCTATATTGAGTTGTCAGCACTTGCTGGTTTCTTCAAACATGAATCTAGACTGGCAGCATTGGTATTAGTGTTAGCATTAGCGCAGATGGGCATTCGTTTTCATAGTTGTACTCGTATCAGTTTCACCCTAAACCCTAAACCCTAAACCTCTGAACCCTAAACCCCTAAGCCCTAAACCCTAAACTGCTCAACCCTAAACCCTAAACCACTGAACCCTAAACCCCTAAACCCTAAACCCTAAACCCCTAAACCCTAAACCCCTGAACCCCTGAACCCCTAAACCACTGAACCCTGCTCTGAGTTTCGGCTTGCTGAGTCCCCATTCCTCGCCGCGGCCCTCCGAGCCCTGATCGCCAAGCGGTAGGTTCATTCCAAGACCCCGTTTAGGGTTTAGGGTCTAGGGTTGAGGGTTCAGGGTCTAGGGTTTAGGGTTTAGGGGTTAATGTGGGGGCCTTAATATAATAGTCAAAGGAGCCAGAGCTTCGACCCCGACAATGCCCCCAGCAATGAGTCTCCGCTCTTATCTCTTCGCCTCAAGGTCTTCACAAAAAAAGCCTTCACCCCCGCCCCTAAACCCTAAACCCTACACCCTAAACCCTAAACCCTAAAACCTAAAATCCTGAAGCCCTAAGCCCTACAAACCCTAAACCC